CTGTATCCTTAAATAATGAACCTGAATTTAGCTGTAGTTCACGTTTCCATCCTGTAGTGTGGATTGAAAAAAGATGGGCGGGGAGGGAGGGGGAACGGAGGAGCGGGGAAGAAAGAGGATATGAAGCGAACAGACAAAAACAACTTTAGATTTCGGAAATCCGTCTTAAATTTCTTCGATTTTTTAGTCCTCGCAAATTTTCTCCTAACATCGTCCAATTTATTTCAAAAACAGTCTAATGGTGCGCAATTTGACGGAATGCTTAGATAGAATGCAAGGTTCATTCCGTTCATCTAAAAATAAATGTTGACTTTTCCGGATCCAAGAATCTGAGTTAGTTGTAAAAAAATAATTTATTCGTAACTTAAAGCATAACAAGTGTGTCTTTACCTACGTTTTTTTTCTCTTGCGCTCATAACTGTCTTAATAAAATGACAAAGTCTACTTTTAGTCATCGCTTTTTTGCTCATCACTGATGCAGCAAATAATTTCTCCTTCTTTCTCTACTTAAGGCTATTCTCACCCAAGCAGCAGTTCATGCGGATCTTAGCATCACATTTGCGCATTTTGTACGTTGTTTTACCATGCGGTGGATGCCGTTCAATAAACTGTTTTGTTCAACTGTTGTCTCTCATTCTTGTAGTATGATCAACTTAATTCTTTTTTCTAACGGGCGCTTCTTTGATAAAACAGTCAAGCTCCGATCGAAAGTGCAGTATTTTACTGGAAATATGCTGCAACTTGCTGACATCTTAACATGTAACGGCTAACGGCTAGGCTGCTCGTTCAGTCATGGCTAAAATTTTCTCCTCGTCAACAGTCTGCGCTTCACTCTACACAACAGAAATGGTAAAAAAACTGTGAAAATAAAAATATCACTTTCGTTTTCGCGCAAAAATTGAAAAACATAAAGACCAACTTCCGCTATTTGTGCTTGCATTGTATCATCCTGGCGAGTGTTTTCAGCTTCCTGTGACAGTGTTTTCACTTTCATTTCCAGGCGAGATATTTGCGCTGACAAATCCGAGTTCTCTTTTATTAATGCAGCATTCTCCTCCAGAGCCTGAATTCAGGCTCACTGAACCACAAATAAACATTTTTCCGACTTGTTGCAATTTTTTTTCAAATAAAAGTTGCAATTTTTTTTCCAACCTGTTGCATTTCTTTTTCAATTTTTTCCACTGAAAAATGTTACCCTTTCGGCAATCGCTTTGTCTTTTTTAGCTGTTAACTGTTCTTCACGCAATGATCGTTTTGTCGCAGCAATATCTTCCTAGAAAAGTAATCAGTAATTTATTAATGCGTTGTTGTTCTAGATTTGCGACTTGAGAAGAACTAGGAGTTTACCGTTGAAAATCAACTAAAACATCAAGTTTGGTGTGCTGTGAATGTGCAGAGCACAAGATCAAAGTCAATGGCATGATTGTCTACGAAACAAAATGAAAAATTTAGGGAACATAAATCGGAGTGTGAATTAATCTTTGATTTCTCTATTTGCTTCGCTTTTATTCCTAAGCTCAAGTTTGCTTTAATTATCAAATAACGATTAGATTTGTTTAGCTTCTTTTGTAAAAAGTTCGACTCAAATTTGAGCAAGTACTGTTAAGCTATATTTATGAAGTGTTTTCTTTTCTTGAAAAACAATTAACCTATCTCTTAAAACCAATGTATTAATTTCGTTGGAAATATTTCTTGCAACATTTTTTTTCCCATAATCTCCTAGTCGGTGAGGCACTTCACTGAAGTCAAAGAGTGACAAATTTCGAGACGAGATGATGATGCTTAAGATATGATACATCCCCTAAAGCTAAAACTCCGTCAAAGTGCTCCTGTTGAAAGAACCGTTGAGCCGGCAAACCTAGCACGAAATGAAACAAACGCCTGGATCTGTAAAAGACTGAGGCGATGTACTGTTGTTCAAAGCAATTTTAAAAGTTCCGAATTCATAACTGAATCAAAATTTATCAAATTAAATTATTTCTCACGACAAGCGACATTTCTTTGCTTTCCAGAACTTCGATATTGGCTTCCAAACGATGGATTTTCTGTAGAAGCCGATCAGTATCGCTTCTTCGCCGCCCCTCTTCATTAGATAGTGCTAACTCTTCCCGACTTTTCTCTTCAACCTTCATCTGCAAAAAGTAATAAGCAGTTTGATTTTTCTCGAGCCCAATATCAAATCCTTGTGTTTATACGAAAACTACTGGTTTTAAGACATACTGGAAAAATTAGTTCTTTCATTTTACCTTTCCATGGTAAATTGATACTGATACGCTACGCAAGCTGGTGCTGGATACGCTATGCAAGCTTCAAACTAAAAGTATTTTCTGCTTATTTCACAAGCCATAAAAGAGAAAACCACCGAATGGCCCTCCTCATGGAGACTTTGGGTGAACGAATCATCTGGATAAATACGCCTCTATGCTACCGTTCTTTAGAGCCAGCGGCTAAAAAGATTTAGCGCTAGGCTTTCTCCCGTTCACAGCTTTATAATGGTAGCAGAAAAAGTCCTCACAGTTGAGACTGATTTTCTGATAAAAAGCTTACCGCCGTTTTTGAATTATTCTGCAAATTTACCTGCAATTCGTTCAGTTCATTTGTTGCATTACGCAATTTGTCACGTAGCTCGTCTTTTTCGGTTTCAAGTTTTGCAATGTGTGACTCCTGAAATGGAAAACGAATACGGGAAATTTGGTTCAAAAGTATCACTGCCGCTATACAAATATATATCCAGTATTGGAACCTTATCAGCCAACGCAGGTGTCAGATAATCGAGCCTCCTCTGCAACTCCAGTGCTTCTTCCATCAATGCACGTTTATCACGCGTGAAACATTCTGAAATAAACTTCATTTTAGTATTTTGACTAATTTTTATTGGTGCTTCTGTCCTTCTTTCATCAGAATTACCGTCATACCGACGAGGTCCATTCGCAGTATTGAATTAAGGCGTGTATGATTTAATGGGCCGAAACGTCTTATCTCACTCTTGCCTGCTCTCCTATATTATTACTCTTTCTTTCTGAATTCCATCGCACCTTTGCCACCCGCGCTTCTGGGGTCAACCAGATGCTGCAATCTGCTTATCAGATCAACGGGCCTCTTTGACAAGAGTACTTGGCAAGGCTTTAGTTGTTTCAAAATCTCACTGATCAGTATTGAGCATTAGCAGTTCTTGTCGAAATCTGCTACTCCTAGACCATGTTGAAGTAATTTACCCATCAAAGTTTCTAAGCATAACTGTAGTAGAAACAAGAGCTATTCTCTCGAATTTTTCGTTTAAAATGGCTGGAAAAAAAATTAAAACATGGATGAAAATTTGTGGTCCAACTCTCTGGTACAATCCATTTGAACTGATCTTCCTTACTGCAAACTAACATTTTTTTCCAAAAAAAACTGATCTTCCTTACTGCAAACTAACATCTTTTTCAAAAATCCCAGTACTGTAAACATTTAACAAACGGTTTCAAACCTTCGTTTTTGTATAATTTAGCTTCCTGCTCTTGGATGCGTTCCGACAGTTGGGAATTTTCATAAGCGATTCTCTCAATTTCAATCGTCTTTTGCTTCAAGCACTCTTCTAGTCTTCGTTCACGCTTTAAAACAAATAATTTTATCAACAACGTTATAAATTAATCAAAGACAAAAGTCAAAACTCCCTCCTTATTCACTCTCTGTGGCTGGCGAAGGGAATCAGGAAGTAACGCTTAGAACTGAGTTGATGGCGGATATGACTTCCTGACAAACGCAAGTGCTAATTTGCTACCGAAACGAGCGAGCGAATCGTAGTGGGATTGGTTGTCACAGCAGTGGAATTGAACTCTTGATCAACTGCTACTTACCAGCGAGCAATGCCCACTGGTCATAAAATCATAATTTTTCCACAAAACCAAAAGAAATTACAAGAACCTGATAGGACTCCTCAAGTTTTTGCAGCAATTCAGCTTGTTCAGTTAAATGATGCGACGGCCTTCGTTCTGGCCAGTTCGAGGAAACTGGCGCATTTGTAACTTCAGGCTCTGCATAGGATACTTTTTTCCGGTTTGCTCCTTGTTTCGCTTGTTTTTCCCGGTCATATTCGGCCAAAATTCCGCTCTTGAATGATTTTTGTCGTGTTGGCGGCTCTGGCTTTGTTGAGGGACCAGGTGATGGAGATTGAGCCTCGCGTCGTCGCTCGGTTTCGTCATCACTACTATGTGGGGCATTTCCAGTACCATGTTTCCTACAAATACAGTAATTGATTGTCTATTACAACAAGAATATTACATCTGGGAGAAAGATGCACAAAACTGAGTTCAACAAGAGGCTGGAAAAACATTTCGCTGAGTGCGCAGCGTAATACTTGCGGCAGGCAGTGCAAGTGAATAACGAATTTAGTTCAAGTTATGTCGCGTTTTCTGAAGCATTAATGTAAAGTCGTCTGTGAAAGAGACATTTTTGAGATCCATTGCGTTACCAGTTTTTTTATGCGTTTTTGCATTTATGTAAATTGCAAAAACGCATATTGGGAAGAGGCTGTCTGTG